ACCAATGCAGTGCTAGGAAGGCCTTCATCTCTGAGACAGAGACATCATACCAATTATGAAATCTGGAATTGGATTTCAGCTGTTGGGAGTTTAGAAACTGATGAGCATATCTGTTGGTTTCATTTGTAATGAGGTTCCAGAAGTCATCAGTCAGAAAGAGGGACAGCAAGTCTAAGGGTGCAGCACTGGTCAAATCTTTCTCTCCTAGATAAACAACAGGCTCATCAAAGTGTTTGATCCAGTCCTGATACACTTCTTCATTTCTCAAATAAACCCAGCCACCATTGTCATCGCTATTTCCAGCCCTATTTAGATCCAGATCACCCCTGCTGCCTCTACCACGTCTCCCGGCTCTCCCACGCACAGCACGGCCATGTCTACCGTGGCCACACCCACCTCTTTGGGGCGCTGGATCCAAAGAGCTAGTGCTACTTCCAGCCCTATTTCTCCTACCTCTGCTGCCTCTACCTCTAGCAACATCTCTCCTATGGACACTACGACCACGTTCACCCCTGCCAACCCCATCCCTGTTGGGCAAAGGGTCGAAATGATCACTTGTTTGTGCTTCGTGAACACTCTCGCCTTGCACGGCGGCACCATTGATGTACCGGGAGAAGTGCGATTATTAGACGACCGATTGTCATTTCCAAAAGGGAAATGTTCCCCTTCAGAGTCAGATTCGGTGAATAACATTTGCAACACATCCTCATGGTACAACTTTTTATTAGCCATTTGGCGATTTTCTCTCACAAATCTCACAATTTACTCGCACGCTATGAACTGAACTGCTTCTGCATCAATGACACGATAGCTCACTTGCTCTGCTATTTCCTTATCTATCTATCATCTATCTATCTATCTGTCTGTCTGTAAAGTATCTCATCACCTTGGAATTATCTGACATTTTTGTCAAAATTGAGTTCTTCACATATTATTCGTCTGTAACAAAATATTTACATTATATTTGCTTTTAAAGCTGTGTACATTTTGGGATTTTTTTTTAAAGAAAACAAAAAGGTTCTATCTACAAAGGAGAGCAAAAATGCAAACATTTTGAAGCTCAATACCTCAGAAGTGTTA